GGGTGGCCAAGCTTCTTGATAGTCCGAGCCATTTTTCAAAATTTGAAATTTTTCGCGAGCCGCAATTAAATACGTATTAAAAAGGTATGCAAAAAATTCCAGAATTATATCCGTAGCAAGAGTGATACAAATTGTTTCTTCCAGAGCACAATGTCAGCTGTCCATTGCAATAACAGTTTACAAATTCAAAATCGGTCTGGAGTCGGTCGATAATGGACGATTACGCCACTGTTTATGTTCGTTCGCGCAGTTTTCCATGAGTCATATCATTCTTAACTTGGACGGTAATGAAATTTGTTACAACGTTGCACTTAATCTTTCATATTTGTTGTTAGTAATTTAAAAGACATTTTGAAACATACGGAACAATAATAATTTTTTAAAATATAATAACACAAAAATGAAAAGGGAACTCGGGTACATTTTTCGAGAGCCACAAATAATCATTCAAAGAGCCGCAGGTTGGCCACCCCTGGTATAGACTTTCATGAAATTCGGACACCCACTCTTCCTCTGATTTGATCTCATCGACACTTCGGGATAAACATAACAATTGTAAGCTAAAATTGTAATATGGTTTTCATTTTAACGTTTAGTGATTTTACTGTTTGGAAGGGTAATGCCGGACATATCTGTTGATTACTAATAAAACAAATACAGTAGAGCAGTGTTTTTCAACCTGTGGGTCGCGACCCCCAGGGGGTCGCGAAGCCTTACACGGGGGGTCGCGGGTAAAAGAAAAAGACAAGTGTTTGTAGGTCCTACACTACATTAAAAAAAAGTACAATTTCAGCGAGAAGGCTGTACCTGTTTATTATACAGTACAGTTGGTTTTTTGATTGACATTTAGGTCCGAATGATGGGTGTCGCCTGGGAGGGGCCTGGGTGGGTACGGCCCACCCCAGAAAATGATTGCTGAAAAAGTGTTGAGCTGACTTGTAAAAAGAAGTAATAAGTAGAGAAGTAGAAGTGAAACACCCTCATCCTAAAAAAAAAGGAAGTACAGTAACATACTATATGTAAGAAGGAAGTAACATACTATACGTGTCTTAAGTTATTGTCGATTCTCCTCAAATTCTCATTTTAGTCATCAACAGTAATTTCTATAAACAGAAAGAAAATTAAATACATAATTTTTTAAATCACTGATATAGTTTTAATATTGCCCTAGGTGGGTCGCCAGAATTTTTTAACTTGTAAAGGGGTCGCGTATTCAAAAAGGTTGAAAAACACTGCAGTAGAGCATCGATTATCCGACCCCCGATTAACCGTCACATTGGTTAACCGACCGTTCTAGTCGGCAAATTTCAAATGTCCGCTAGTGATGCGGCGCTACAATATTTGGCTATGTCTTGGCTACTTTAATATTATTTTTGTTAAGTTTTTGCGTGTTTTAGCTGGCAACACTGGCTCGACCATGAAAGGGAGGCCAGTATTTAAACGAGACTTAATTTTCTAATTATGAGTGGTTGTTTGTTTCGTGAACAATAAAATAATTTTAAAATAATTTTTAACGATACAATAGCGACGATTGTTATTTTTAAAAAATTTGTTAGGCTAAACATTGATGAAAATTTAACGCGAAGTAGGTTAACGATATACTAATATACTAATATACTATACTAATAATGTATTTTT